TCAAAATATTGTCAAGTCAAAGTTAAATTTTTGTTTTACAACATTTGTCAGTATAAAGGCTAATTTTACTTAGTGTGTGTAAAAACTTTCTTTGATAGAGCAATGTATGTCATGTAAGACTTCCAGTTGATGTTAAGTTTTTATTTCCATATTTTGGTTACAAGTGTTGATAATCCACAGTCTTAAAAATGTATTACCATAAATGTAAATGAAGTTTTCATAGCTTCCATAATAAGAAATGAATAGGTTCTCTCAAGGAACACAAGTAATCTCTTAGTTTTGTTTGTGATAGCAAATTACTGTAGACTGAAAAACTTTAATGAAAGACCTGTACTAATCACAGTTCTGGAAACTGGAAGTCCAACATCAGGGTGCCAGCATAGTCAAGTTCTGATGAAGGGCCTCTTACAGGTTGCAGATTACTGACTTGATGTATCCTCACATGGCAGAGAGGTAAGAAGCACACTCTTGTCTTTTTACAAGGGCACTCATCTCCATTTGTGAGTTCTCCATCCTCATTACCTAATCACCTCCCAAACACTCCATCTTCTAATACCATCACATTGGGGGTTAGGATTTAAGCATATGAATTTGGGGGCCCCGTGTTGTGGTGCAGTGGGTTAAGCCATTGCCTGCCGTGCTGGCATCACATATGGGCACCCATTCCTGTCTCTGCTGCTCCACTTCTGATCCAGCTCCCTGCTAATGCACTTGGGAAAGCAGCAGAAGATGGCCCAGGTGCTTAGGTCCCTACCACCCTCATGGGAGACCTGGCTCCTGGCCTTGACCTGGCCCAGCTCAGGCTTTTCAGCCACTTGGAGAGTGAACCACCAGATGGAAGGCCTTTCTCTCTCTCTCCTCTTTCTCTAACTCAGCCTTTCAAAGAAATAAATAAATCTTTAAAAAAAATAAGCATATGGATTTGAGGAACACACAAACATCAATCTATTACAAACACCAAAATTCTCTAAATCTATTTGAACTAAATTTCTATTATGAGGTTATACAATTTCACCATTCAGAAACCCAGAATTGCATTCTATTTGGCAGGTTCCCATGTGAGGGTATCTGTAGACAGGGAGGCTGAGATATAATGCTAAAGTATTTTTGAGGGAGTGGTGAACATAAATGATGTTTTTGAGATCTCTGCAATGACTTCTCTGTGCTATGAAATTATCTTTGATTTCTATTGGTGGCAAGACCATAGGGTCCAACATTTTTGCCAACATTCATATCTGAAGTGCTTTCTAAATTTTAGTTAAATGTTACTGAAAATAGAGATCATTTTTTTTGCCTACCTAAGTTCAAGGGCTCTCTGATTTCTGTCCATGTATTCTTTCTTCATCTAGGGACACCAGGTTAAGGATTCCTGATATGAACAAAAATTATGATCCTCACATATTTCCCATTTGGTATAGTTACAGATTCCCTAATGGTAGCATAACACACCATTAAAGCCAGAACATTTTAAGAGAAAAGGAAAATTCCTGGTTCTGTCTAAGTTAGCTCCAAAGACTTGAAAATAGAATCCCAATTCTCACTTTATTTCAAGAATCTTCCTTATAAAATATGGTCAAAATACTTAGTGCTGTTTAAAAAAAAAGTGCTGAGACATCTCTTTCAGCTTTCTCATTTCTAGGCATTATTCCAACCTGGGGTTTTTCTGCCTTGTCACTTGTGATAGGAAGAAATTGATATTCTTTATTCTTCTGTCCAGTTTGGGACTTTTTGTTTGTTTGTCTTGCATTATCATCTAAATTCTGATTTTGAATTCCTTTTTAAACTCATTGCAAGAAGTTGCACAGTTACTTGTTCTTGAGCAGTTAAATCTTTCCTTTAGTTTTCTGAAAAAAGAGAGAAAAATAGTATTTCTTCTACTTATATACAATCAAAAGAGAACTTTCTGGAGTTAGGTAAGAATTTATATGCAATAAAAATTATACCATCTGTAAATACTGATGGAGTTTGCAGATTCAAAAGGCTTCCATAGCCTTGGCAGCTCATGTCAATAGCCTAGATTGGTCACTGATGTCATAGATAAGAGTGTTAATTGTTAAATTAACAACAAGTATCACTAGGCACTTATTTCCCATGCAGGACCTCTGTCCTCAATGAGTTGTATTATGAGAACTAACTGTAAAACTTGCTCTCAGTTTTGTGTGTGTGCATGTGTGTGCAAATTGTTGAAATCTTTACTTAGTATGGAGTTGGTCTTCTGTGTATAAAGTTAATTGAAAATGAATCTTAATGGAGAATGGGCTGGGGAATGGGAGAGGGAGGAGGCGGTGGGGTGTGAGTAGGGGTGGGAGGGTGGGTATGATGGGAAGAATCACTATATTACTAAAGTTGTACTTATGAAATTTTTATTCCTTAAGAAAAAGGTTTATTTGGGGGAAAAAGGCAAAATAAAAATAAAGTTATACCACCTGGAAGTCAAATTTGTGCTTTAATTCAAGTTATGCCAAATTGGCTGCTTCTGAGAATGTGTTTCTGAGCCTCACTCAGTTTTTCTTTCTCTCCTTTTAAAACAAGATTTATTTATCTATTTGAAAGTCAAAAGTGACAGAGAGAAATTTTCCATCCACTGGTTCACTCCCTAGATGACCACAAAGGCCAGGACTGGGCCAGGCCAAAATCAGGAGTCAGGAGCTTCTTCTAGGTCTCCCACATGGGTGGAAGGGGCCCAGACACTTGGACTATCTTCCACTCTTTTCCCAGGACATTAGCAGGTAGGTGGATCAGAAGTGGAGCAGCCAGGACTTGAACCAGTGCCTACCTGCAATGCTGGTGCTGCAGGCAGCAGCTTTACCCTCTATGTCACAATGTCAGCCCTTCACTCAGTTTTTCTGATGTGGAAAATGAGTGGTGATTTCTTAAATGATTTCTAAGGTATTTTCTACATGTAAAAATTTAATGAGTCATGCCTGAATTTAACCCAATCATCAAATGGATGTTGCTGATGCCCCCACCAACTTGACCCATTTGGTGGCTTGCTCACCCCCTAGCTGTTATAAACATTTGCTCTTATTCACAGCTGCCCTGATCTAGGGAGAATTGCTCTCTTTCCCTCAATAGAACATTGGAGCAGCCACACCCTAACTTACTGTCATAGAGCACAGAAGCTGGCCCCTTTCCCTCAAGTGAACTATAGTTTCTCACAGAACTAGACAGAAGGTATTGTCCTGAAGAGAATACCTTCTCACCAAGCTACGTCCCCCACTATCCTGCTTCCCTCTTCCTCCTCCTCATTCTTCTTCTTTTTTTTTTTTTTTTTTTTTTTTTTGACAGACAGAGTGGACAATGAGAGAGAGAGACAGAGAGAAAGGTCTTCCTTTTTGCCGTTGGTTCACCCTCCAATGGCCGCCGCGGCCGGCGCGCTGCGGCCGGCGCACCGCGCTGATCCGATGGCAGGAGCCAGGAGCCAGGTGCTTTTCCTGGTCTCCCATGGGGTGCAGGGCCCAAGCACCTGGGCCATCCTCCACTGCACTCCCTGGCCACAGCAGAGGGCTGGCCTGGAAGAGGGGCAACCGGGACAGAATCCGGCGCCCCGACCGGGTCTAGAACCCGGTGTGCCGGCGCCACTAGGCGGAGGATTAGCCTAGTGAGCCGTGGCGCTGGCCCTCATTCTTCTTCTGTAAAGATTTATTTATTTACTTGAAAGGCAGAGTTACAGTCAGACAGAGGGAGAGAGAGAGAGGTCTTTCATCCACTGATTCACTTCCCAAATGGCTGCAACAGCCAGAGTTGGGGCAGTCTGAAGCCAGGAGCCAGGAGCCAAGCACTTAGGCCATCCTCCATTGCTTTCACAGGCATATCAGTAAGAAACTGGATCGAAAGTGGAGCATCCAGGACTAATATGGGCACCCATATCCATTATGCCCAGCACCGGCCCCCTCCCCTACTTCTGACAGCACTCCCTCAGCTAATCGTTTAACAAGAATCATCATCACAGGCTCTTCTTTAGAGAACATAATAGACAGCATCTGTCATGAAACTTGATAGAACTTGATAGACAACATCTTACAGTAAGGTATTCAGCAAATCTCTTCGAACTGAGATTGAAGTGAATGAATGCAGTTAATCTGTTTAATGTTAATCACAGCCGAGAACTATTTCTTAGCAAGCACTATAAGCTTATCTGCAAATCTGCCTCTGTTTCTTTCTGATAAAATTAATTCATTCATTTCCAGAAGGAGCCTTCCCCAAATGATTATTTAATGTTCAGCAGAGGATGGGCTAACCCTAAGCACTTGCCCAAGTCATCAAAGTAGTGAACTCAATATGGAGAGAGGAGAAAAACACTAATAGCTCATATTCCCAGAGTTCAGCACCTTCAATTAATTATTTATTTCTAATATAACGGGGTACATTATCAACTTAATAGCAATGCAATATTAAGAATGCATGAGAAAACAATGCATAAGTGCCTAAATGTGAGACTAACTTTCAATTATTCAATGTAGGGATGAGTAATGTAGCTGAGTGGGTTGGAATGGATTATACAGATTGTACCAAACCCCAGAGAACAGATAAAACACTCATTTATTAACATTTCTTCTTTTAACTAATAACCCTGTTTTTTTTTAAGTGGAAAAAGCAGCCTTGTAAATTTTAAAATCTCTGATTCGAAAGAAATCCTCTGAAATTACTCCTGAGAACAATCACAAAAACAAGAGTCACTCCTATTTTTAAGAGCAGTAAAATCCCAGATACCACAAATTGGATGATGGTTCCAAAGGTGCTTGGACTCTGCCCTTCACTTAGCTCATGTTATCAGTCCCTGAGGCCTCAAATTATTATATTTTAGTTGGTATTCAGTTGAAAATGTGCACCTGTTTGTTGCCGATTAAGACATTCTCAGTTAAGAGTAGTATAAATTGCATTGCTTTTACTTTCTTATTTCCTGATAGTGCAGTTGACCTGAAAAAAAAATGTTGTTCTTAAGAAATAAATACTTCCCGAATTCTGAAGATGGAGTCACGAAGATGTGTTGTCTACAGGCAGAGCCAGACAGTGAAAGAGAGAGACAGAGAGAAAGGTCTTCCTTCTGTTGGTTCACCCCCCAAATGGCTGCCATGGCCACCGGCGCACTGCACTGATCTGAAGCCAGGAGCCAGATGCTTCCTCCTGGTCTCCCATGTGGGTGCAGGGCCCAAGCACTTGGGCCATCCTCCACTGTCTTCGCGGGCCACAGCAGAGAGCTGGACTGGAAGAGGAGCAACCGGGACAGAATCTGGCGCCCCAACCAGGACTAGAACCCGGGGTGCTAGCGCCGCAGGCGGAGGATTAAACTACATATATCTGTTATGGAGGTGAGGTGTGTTTTGATTTCACTGTGATTTTCCCCCTGAACTCATGCAATATCTTAATGATATGAAGAGGATGGAAACTTAATCTAAGGCATTTAGAGGTGGAGCTTTTGAGATGTGATTGGACTGGATTAACTCATTAGGGTCAAGCTCCATGATTGAATTCTAGTGACTTTGTAAAGAAAGGAACAGAAACCAGACAGACATATGTGTTCCCACCATGATGTGATGTAGTCTAGGGGCACAGGGGGCCTCATAAGAGTCAGTCCTTTGCTGCTTGAGCCTCTTACTTCTAGAACCAGGTGTCAAAGCCTACCACATTTCCTTACAAAATATCCTTTCTTGGGTATTTGGCTATAATAAGGCAAAATTGAGTGATACATGGGGCCAGCGCTGTGGCACAGTGGTTAAAGCCCCAGCCAGCAGCACCAGCATTCCACGTGGGTGCTGGTTCGAGTCCTGACTGCTCCACTTCCAATCCAACTCTCTGCTGTGGCCTGGGAAAGCAGAAGATGGTCCAAGTCCTTAGGCCTCTGCACCTTTGTAGACCTGGAGGAAGTTCCTGGCTCCTAGCCTCAGATCAGCTCAGCTCTGGCCATTGTGGTCATCTGGTGAGTGAACTGGTGAATGGAAGACTTCGCTCTATTTCTCTCTCTCTCTCTCTCTCTCTCTCTCTCTCTGGCTCTACCTCTCTCTGTAACTCCATCTTTCAAATAATAAAATCAATATTTTTTAAAAAACCTGAATGATACAAGGAATTTTATGTGTTATAGTGCACACAAACTCTGCAAGACCAATTTTAGCCATCTTGAAGAGAATTGAGAATTCTGCATATTGAGAATGCAGTCATGTGATGCATAATCATATTTCAGTCAATGACACTGTTTATACAATAGTTGTTCCATAAGATCTCTGTTTTTTAAAGATTTATTTATTTCTTTGAAGGGCAGAGTTAAAGAGAGGCAGAGATAGAGAGGCAGAGAGAGAAAAGTCTTTTATTCACTGGTTCACACCACAAATAGCTGCAACAGCCAGAGCTAGGTCAGACTGAAGCCTGGAGCCAGGAGCTTCATCTAAGCCTCCCACATGGGTGCAGGGCTGAAGGACTTGAGCCATCCTCCACTGCTTTTCCAGTCACATGGGATAAGAAGTGGTGAAGCCAGGACTGGAACCAGCGCCCACATGGGATGCCAATGCTGCAGGTGGCAGCTTTAATCCGCTACACCATAACACCAGCCCCAATAAATAAATCTTTAAAAAAATTGTAGCAGAGCTGAAAAATTCCTATTATCTACTATTTTTACTGTACCTTTTCCATATTAAGATGTTTAGATATACATATACTATTATGTCATAATTGTCAACAGTATTCATTTGGTATAGTAACATGCTATAGAAGTTTGTAGTATAGGAACAATAGGTTATATACCCTATAGCCCAAATGTGTAGGCTATGCCATCTAAGTTCATGTAAATGCACTCTATGATGTTTGCACAATGATGAAATTGCCTAACAAGTCATTTCTCAGAATGTATCCTATTCATTAAGTAACACACATTGTGTGTCTATGTATATTTATTTTTATTTATTTACTTTTTTGACAGGCAGAGTGGAAAGTGAGAGAGAGAGCATTTTATTGAAGCTGCTGAGCTAAACTGAGTTACCAGTTCCCAAACTCTCTATATAAGTAGAAAAATATAAGTAGAAACTCTCTATATAAGTAGAATTTGCTGATTAAAATGAATCTAAGCTTTTTCATTGATATGCCTTTCATTAAGGTAATAATTGACAGTGTTTGAAATAGGTTTTTGAACATGGAATACATCATGTGGCATGTTTCATAAACAAGTAAGATAATTATATTACCTTTTCAGCATACAAATTATGAAATTGTTTTGAGTGTGACATAAGTGAAACAAAACATGGGGGGTGTTTTTCACAAGGCTACTTTTCTTCTTGTAATTATAATTAAAGCCATTTAATTCATGAAAAACTTCTGCCTTGTAATGTGTGAAAAGATAAAAAAATAACAAGAAACTGCACTTTGGAATTTGGGCACTTTTTTTAACCAAAAAGCATTAGGAACATCAAAAAATAATGTTTCAATATTCTGGGGAACAGAAAGAAGAGAAAAATTGTCTTCTTTATGTATTACATATGCAAATTTGTGGTTTACGTCATTTCTTAAAGACTTATCAAATTTATAAACTATGAATATTTTACACATGGCAAATTCATACACATATTTTATTTTGAGTTGAGGCTCGTCACCTTGGAGGTAAGCTATATTCTTTGCGTAGAAGCCCTTTTCGAGTCTGAGGAAGTTCCTGTCTATTCTAGTTTGTTGAACATTTTTAACAAGATAAATGTTGAATTTTGTCAAATGGTTTTTCTGCATCAGTTGATGATAATCACCTCTTGTTTCTTCTTTCAATTGCTAATATTATGAAATACAATGATTGAATTTTGAACATTGACCTAGCCCTATATTCCTTGGATAAATTCCACTTGTTGTCATGTACTTTTCTTTTCACATATTGTTGGATCTCATTTGCTACATATTAAAAAGATCGGGGCTGGTGCTGTGGTGAAGTGGGTTAATGACCTGGCCTGAAGTGCCGGCACCCCATATGGGCACCGGTTCGAGATCCAGCCGCTCCACTTCCAATCCAGCTCTCTGCTATGGCCTGGGAAAGGAGTAGAAGACTTGGGCCCTGCACCCACGTGGGAGATCCGAAAAGAAGCTCCTGGCTCCTGGCTTCAGATCTGCGCAGCTCCGGCCGTTATGGCCAGTTGGGGAGTGAACCATCGGATGAAAGACCTCTCTCTCTCTCTGCTTCTCCTCTCTCTGTGTAACTCTGACTTTCAAATAAATAAATAAATCTTTTTTAAAAGAAGATTGCATAGAATTTCTTTTATTTCTTCTTAGATGTTTGGTGAAATAATCATGGCCTGAATATTTCTTTTTCAGAAGGTTTTAAACAATGAATTCAATTTTTTGAATAGAATTATTCAGATTATCTACTTCAACTTGAGTAAGGTTTGGTAGTTTGTGGTTTTCAAGGAATTTCTTTTCATCTTGTATGCCTGTGGGTGATTAAATTATGTGCATAGGGTATTTCTGGTATTCTCTTAATATCCCTTTAGTGTTATACTGTTTTACATTCCTGAAGTTAGCATTTGAGGTCTTTGTCCCTTTTTGTCAATCTCTTAGAGAGATTTATCAATCCCCTCTCCATTTTTTTTTTTTGAAGAACCAACATTTTGTTTCATTGACTTCCACTATTGTTTGTTTTCCACTTCATTAATTTCTCCTCTAATCTTTATTATTTTCTTCATTCTTCTTGCTTTGACTTTATTTTTTTCATCTTCTGCTAGTTCCTGAGTTGGAAACTTACATTATTGATTTGAGAGTTTTCTTCCTTTCTAATATAAATATTTAATACTGTAAATGTACCAGTAGACACCACTTTAGCTACTGTCACTTAATTTTAAGGTGTTTGTGTATTAACATTATTAGCCTTCTTTCTGTCTTATATGTCATAAATATTTCCTTCAGTTTGTTGGTATACTTTGATTTTATTTATAGTGGGATTTCTTGTCATGGAAAAATTTTAATTTTTGCATAGTCAAATTTAGCATTTTTCAATTGTATTCTGGATTGTGGGCCTTAATCAGAAGTTTTTCATTTCAGGGTAAAGAGGAATTCATCTATGCTTTCTTCCAGTGTCACCCACCCAAAATTGTGAGCCCATTTCCTGGAGAGTTCAATCAAGAATTGCACCAGAAGGTGATGTTGTATAAAATAATTTCTTTGTGGAAACCATAGGAAATCATTTCCAAAGCCATGACTCCATGACCAGGGTAAATGGATATCTTTTGTTTTAGGGGGAAATGAATATGTAAGATGGGAAATTCATGTCTTTACCTGTGGGGGTGACTACAAGTTCATGTAGACACAGTTCAGCAACAATCCCCAACACAGGTTGCATGGTGTGATAATAAAGTTTAAGCTCCTGCTGGGGCACAGATCTTAGTATGAAGGAAGGGGTAACCCATGCATACCTTTTGACCCATCTGCACAGGTGTTGTTTTCTCAGTAGTGTCTGGGCCAGTCCAGGATGGCAGGTGATTACATCTTCTCCTGGAATGTGACTGAAAACCTGAAAGACAACTTCAGAGAATAGCGGGTGCTTTTACATCCTTGAAATAGAACTGTGTCACAAAAAAGACTTTTTAAAAACATCAGTGCTTTTCTTTGTTTGTTTGTTTGTTTAAAAGGGAGAGGAAAAGAAAGAGATTTCCCAGCTGCTGGTTCACTAAACGAATGGCTACAACAACCAGCATTGCATCAGGCCAGAAGCTGGAACTCAATCCAGGTCTCCCACATGGGGTGTCAGGGACCCAAACATTTGATCTATCAACAACTGCATTAGCAAGAAAAGAGCTGTGCCTCAAACCCAGGCGCTCCAATACAAACGCAGGCATTTCAAGCCATGTTCTAACTGGTGTGCCAAACACCTGCCTCAGATCATATTTCATTTTATAGTGTACCTTATGTTCTCTGAGTTTCTACCCCAAAGAAGAGGATGTGCTATGGAACCTGATTTTATCTATTTTGAAATACACAACAGGAACCTTTGTACTTGAATTAGTGTTAAGGTTTTGTGAATCATTGTTGTAAGTAATTGCTTAAAATCATGATACAATTTTTTTTGCTAGAGTTAAAATTGATAATGGCTCACACATTTTATCAGTTGGTACAAATGAATCAGTGGCAAGTTCACTAAGTTTTCTCTTTGTTTTCTATAGCTTTTTATAGCTCTGAATATAAAAGAGCTATAAAAAGCTTATTGTAATTCTTAGTGGTTGGGGAAAAACTACATCCTTTTCTGTAGCAGATATTTTTAATAAAAGGATTTGTGATTGATTGCTGAAATCAAACACAATGCAAAGATATCTCAATGACTTTAAAAAAAAAATCTTCAATATATAGCAGTAAAGACTGAAACTGGCTCTTAGACTGAGTTCCCTATTCCTAACAAAGCAAGCTGAAAGTCCAGACCAGAAATCTAGGGAAGCAATTCTCAAACTTTGGCATGCCCTATAACCACCTGATGGGTTTGTTAAAGCATAGATTACTAATCTCCCCCTAAGAGTTTCAAATCTGACAAAGATTGCTCTCTCTTTGCTCATATCCCCTCCTTTCCCTGTATTTGACCCCATATGTTTGCATGTACTATTATTTTTTTAAAATATTTATTTATTTATTTATTTGAAAGGGAAAGTTACAGAGAGGCAGAGACAGAGAGAGAGAGAAAGAGGTCTTCCATCCACTGGCTCACCCCCCAAATGGCCACAACTGCTGGAGCCGCACTGATCCAAAGCCAGAAGCCAGGAGTTTCTTCTGTGTTTCCCACATGGGTGCAGGGAAACTTGGGCCATTCTCTACTGCTTTCCCAGGCCACAGCAGAGAGCTGGATTGGAAGTGGAGCAGCCAGGATTTGAACTGGTGCCCAGTGCTGGCCTCTGCATATACTATTTTTTTTTTTGACAGGCAGAGTGGACAATGAGAGAGAGAGACAGAGAGAAAGGTCTTCCTTTGCCAGTGGTTCACCCTCCAATGGCCGCCGTGGCCGGCGCGCTGCGGCCGGCGCACCGCGCTGATCCGATGGCAGGAGCCAGGTACTTATCCTGGTCTCCCATGGGGTGCAGGGCCCAAGCACCTGGGCCATCCTCCACTGCACTCCCTGGCCACAGCAGAGAGCTGGCCTGGAAGAGGGGCAACCAGGACAGAATCCGGCGCCCCGACCGGGACTAAAACCCAGTGTGCCGGCGCCGCTAGGCGGAGGATTAGCCTAGTGAGCCATGGCGCCGGCCTGCATATACTATTATTATCCTGGAATCCACATTTGCGTATCATATTCTGCTTTTTTTTATATAGATTTATTTATTTATTTGAAAGGCAGAGGTACAGAGAAGGAGGGAGGGAGAGAGAGAGAGAGACAGAGAGAGAGAGAGACAGAGAAAGAGATTTTGCCATCCACTGGTTTACTCCACAGATGGCAGTAACTGCCAGGGCTAGGCAAGGTCAAAGCCAGGAGCCTGGAACTCCATCTGGGTCTCCCATGTGACTGGCAGGGCCCCACATACTTGGGCCATCTTCCACTGCTTTCCCAGGTGCACTAGTAGGGAGCTGGATCAGAAGTGAAGCAGCTTGGATTTAAATTAGCACCAGTATGGGAGGCCACTGTTGCAGGGCAGTTGCTTAACCCATTACACAACAATGCCAGCTCCTCTGCTTTTAATTTATGTAACTTTTTCTAATATTATTGAAGCTTGGAACAATTTTTTTTCTGTGCATATTTATTTGACCTTAACAGTTTCCTGCTTCAATCCTTGGTAATATGTTACAGTAACTTTTATTCCAGCCCCATATCTAACGCTCCTCTTCTCCTTCCCTCTCCATCTCCCCTCCCTCCTTGCACCACAAAAATAGGCTTCTCTACTGCCAGTAATAAATGTTAGCTGTGGGATTTGGAGGGATGAGTTTGGATGTTTTCTTTTTAAGTTAATCCATGCTGAAATATAGAAGGCTATGAAACATACTTTAATAATCCAATTTAAAGTTATCCTTGGAATAAATGTGGAATGATTTTTCTATTTAGTTTTTTTTAAGGATTTATTTGTTTGAAATACAGAGATTGAGAGAGAGGAAAGCAGAGAGAGAAGAGAGAAAAAGAGAGAGAGAGAGATGGATATACTGATTTCCAAATATGGTTCACCCCTCAAATGCCTATAACAGCTGGGCCTGGACTAGGCAAAAGCAAGAAGTAAGAAGCTCCATCCAGTTCTCCCACATTGGTGGCAGGGACTCAAGTATTTGAGCCATCATCTGCTGCTTCCCAAGTGCGTTTGCAGGAAGTTGCATCAGAAGCCAAGCAGCCAGGACTCAAACCAGCACACAGATATGGTGTGTAGGCATCCCAACTGGCAACTTAATTCACTGGGCCACAACACCTGCCTCTCAAGCACACTAATACACATAAAAATTCCTCTTCACAATTCTTTGCCTTCCTTACCATGCCTTGTCCACCTTGAAATGTTCTGTTATCTCTGAGACTCGTTTTAAGCATTGCCTTTTCTTTTCTCTTTTTAAGATTTATTTATCTGAAAGGCAGAGAGATACCAGCTCACTCCACAAATGCCCATAAGTGCTGCAATATAGAACTGGCACAGAACTTAGCCAAGTTAGCAGACTGGACTTAGAATATTAACAGGTTCTTTGCAGCCTCTTCTTTATTTGTGAGTTCCTATTCTTTACTAATATTCATTTCATGCTTGTCTATCAAGGATTTTTCTCCTTGGCATCAGGTGGTGGTTCAAGAAATTGGGTACCTGCCACCCACACAGGGAGACCAGGATTGATTCCTGTCTCCTGGCTTTGCTTTGACTCAGTTTCGGCAATTGTAGGCATTTGAGGAGTAACCCATGAATGGGAGACCTCTTTACCTATCCTTATGTCTCTGTCTCTAACTTTCAAATAAAATAAATACAAAAACAAACAAACAAAAACATTACTCTTCTTAAGGGAAAGCTCCAGAACAGTATAGAAAATGAGACGTATACTTTCTCTATGTATACCACTGTTTCTCATTCTGGACTCATCCCAGAAAGCACATGTCTGTGCCATTTGCTTAGCACCCTTTAAGAACAAGATTGCAACATGGCCTCCTCTTTAGACTGAATACTTTCTTTCCTGACCACTATGGTGCCTGACACTTCTCACTTCCTGTTTATGGCCTTAACTTTGCCTTTTGTCCCTAATGATTGATATGTTACTTTGGTCTAACCAAGGGATCATATCTGCCTGTAAGTGTCCACTCTGAGTGAGCCTTATTTCTGGGGACATAGTCTGGATTGATTAATTAGCCTCATAGAAACTGACTTGAAGAGTAGCAAAAGTAAGTACTCTAAGATATGTGCCTTATACATTTTATTGTGTAAATTTCAATGATACATTTCCAGCAAAAAATAACAAGATATGAAGCTAGAGTAACCCTTTTCAACTATTCCCAGGAGAGAATTGAGACTACACTAAAGCATCCATTATAGGCAATCAATTAATTTAACTCCTTTGCATCTGAAGTGGTACTAGTAAATAAACATCTTGGGATAATTGAGAAAACTGTCAATCAAATAATTTTTCCATGTTCTGTGGCACAGATGAGCAGAGAATGTACTTTCTCAAGTGTCCCAGAGAAGATAGGTTTGGGTGATACAATGATCTGAATGTTTTGTCCCCCCCAAATTCTTATGTTGAATCCTAATCGTCCAGGTGACGGTTTAGAAGATAGGGCACTAAGGGGATGAGATAATGAGGGCAGAATCCTCATGAATGGGAGTAATGCCTTTATCAAGAAGCCCCAAAGAGCTGCCTTTCTCCTTTCCATGTGGTAACGTTGAAGTGCCAAGAAAAAAGTGCCATTGAAGCCCAGAAAGTGAGCTGTCACCAGACACTGAATCTGATGTCACCTGTATCTTGGACTTCTCAGCCTCCATAACTGTAAGAAGTAAATTTTGTTATAAGCTGCCCAGTCCAAAGTATCTTGTTAAAGCAGCCCAAATAGACCCAAACAGATGGTGACCATAGTTTTTTAGGTGTCCAGGTGCCCTGTAATGTTATGGAAAATTATTATTTATCTATTTATTATTATTAATTTTTGTTAAATAAAACAAAAAGGGAAAGAAAAATGGAGAGAAGGATGGAGGTGGGGAGGCAGGCAGGCAGGGAGAAATGAAATAACATTCTGTGTATAGTATTTCAAAGATAAGTTCCAGGGTCTGTGTTGTGGCATAGTGGATAAAGCCACCACCTGCGATGCCAGCATTCCATAACGGGCACCAGTTCAAGTTTTGTCTGCTCCACTTCCAAGCCAGCTGTCTGCTATGGCCTGGGAAAATCAGCAGAAAATGGACCATGTCTTTTGGCCCCTATCACCCATGTGGGAGAGCCAGCTGAAACTCCTGGCTCCTGGTGTTGGCCTGGCCCAGCCCTGGCCGTTGCAGGCATCTGGGGAGTGAACCACTGGATGGAAGATCTCTCTCTCTCTCTCTCTCCCTCTCTCCCTCTGCAACTCTGACTTTCAAATAAAAATCTTTGAAAAAAAAAATTAATAAGCTAAGCTCATTCTTTAGTTACATTGGTGCCCTAGGACTCCTAGGATTGCAGCTCCTTAGTTACATCCTTTTTTGCACTATATATACACTCCTGTGTGTGTGTGTGTCTGTGTGTGTACAGGCAATAAAATTGTATAGCTTTAAATGTAAGATTACCAAAAAGTCCACATTGTTTCTTTTGATATATCTTCATTGACTTATATACTTACACATGTTTTAAGCCAACAATACTCTCAAGCACCTACTCAGTACTGGTGTGATTTCTAGTGCCATTTGCATTCTATATTAAAAATGTATTTCTAGAGTTTTTAACTCTTTTGATTATATAGTAGGCATAGTTTTTCCCTCTGAAATTTGTGAAATTGACCTTTTTAAATTTAGGGAACTTCATCTAATTTAGATTTCCTAAAGTTAGATTATGCCCAGTATTTCTCTCCAGATCTATCATAAACTCTCAAACAACAAACAGTTAAGTTGCTTAACACTATCTCACCTACATCATCTCCTGTCATTCCCACCTTCACATCTTATGTTGTAACAATATTGGTCTGTTTATAATTGGCTAATCCATCTGGCTACAGGGCTAGTGATAGGAGTTAAATCTGTACGCAAAATCTGTACACATAATCCATCCACATGGGTTCTTTACCTTTTGGGAGGTTAAATTGCTAATAAGTATGCCAAGAATTCTTATAAAATATTTGTAAGGGGGAAGTTTCTTTCCTAAAAAGTGGAGAATATTTAATTATTATAGCAGTTGTAAACTGTAACAATCAAATAAAATATACTACAATTAATTTTTTAATCGCTGTAGTGCAAAGATTGGATGTTTCAACTTTACTTACACTGGCAATTCTTTCCATTCCAGGAAAGGTATTGTAAGTAAATCCACAAATACGCAGATCCTTAATAGATTCCTAATATTGCAGCTCTGTATTTCAGACAATTACCGGTAACATTATTAGGAAACACAATCTTAACTGTCCCATAGGAAACAAAATCCTCTTGCACTGTTTTGTTTTCCCTAAAATATTTTATCTGAGAAACAGAATAGCAGGCCAATTTTATATAAAAGGTATATACAGCAAACTTATTGATTTTAAACTTAATTATAGATTGTGTTCAAATAAATAAAAAGACCTACAAGAGAAATGATAAAATAAAGAGTCAAAATAGAGGTTATCATTGTCCTTTTAAATGTCACTAAAGAGAAAAGAGAATTAGTCACAAGCCACCTTGGCAGAGCTGAACATTGGGGCAATTCCCCAGAACTCTGTGTGGGGAGAGGTGGGGGCGGGCAGTGTCACTACAGAGCAAACAGGCCCCTAGCAACAACAGAGCTGTGACTCAGGGCCGTGGCTGTGAGGCGAGACGGGAAGTGATTCACCCGCTGGGAAAGGCCTGAGGTCTGTGTCTGTACAATCGGCCTCCATTTTTCTCAAAGGGCAGGAGTGGACTGTCTCTCACTCTTCCTAAACACCCTCCGGTTGCCCCCAATCTTCACATTAATGCCATCCTACCTGTGTAAAACCTTGATCAGCCAGTTGGAGGAGAGCTGCAGCTGGGGTGTTTGTTTCATGCTGTTCTAGGACTTCATAAACAATCTTAATTCAGTTAGAACACATAGTGGGGGTGGGAGGGAAGAAGGAGAGAGAGAGAGAGAGATTAATCTAAAACTAATTTCGCAGCTAAATAAAGTACTTAGTCTGGTTACCTACTTAGTCTTTAGGAAAGCTCTAAAAACACAAACCAACCGACTAGAGACAGCTGCTGAGTGTTAAGTTTTACCCAGTTACTGCACAAAAATCACGAACAATAAAGAAACTGAGGGCAGTCATTCAGAGGGATGCAGTCTGTGAAGCTCCGTTGCTATTCTTCATTTAGATGTCACTCAAAACCAAGGAAACTGGGCAACTAACTATCATCTCTATGAAGAAGCTCGACTGATTTTTGGACCTACAGACTCTTGTAGCCAAAAATTAGAAGATAAAACGAAATACAATTGGATCTTCTGGTATTGGTGAGGGCTTAATAACAGGAAAATAATCTTGTTAGAAACCACTCTCCAGTTATTAGTGTCTAATGCCTACTGTAACCTAATCCATTCAAAAATTGTTGTTTCACAGATTTAAACAGGGACAGTCCTGAAGCCCCTTTGAAAAGTAAAACGTTGCATCTGATGTTGTTCCTGGTAATATTCTAAAGGCCTTTTCAAAGCATTAATTTCTCATATTTCTCCAAAGGTTGCCAGCTATCTTTTCCTGACCCAAGTACTGATGTCCCGATGAATACAGAGCCTTCTTCAAGATTTGCAACCATAAACAAGAAGGACCAAAATACAATAAAATAAGAAACAAAAACACACAAAGTAGAGCTCTTAGAAATTAAGTCTATGATAGACAAAATAAAAGTTTTGACAGAAGAGATGAAAGATAAAATTAAGAAAATCTCCCATTTATTTATTTATTAATGTCCAAAAAGACATTAATAAATGCAATAACTCCTGAAGAAAATAATTCCAGAAAAAGACAATAAGAAAAATTTTTGGAACTGAGGCCATGAGTCTTTAGATTGAAAGGAGACCACTCGGTATCAACAGAATAATTGAAAAAAGACCCACACAGAGGCATATCATTGTGAAATTTCAGAATTTCAGGGAAGAAAAACCTGGAAGGTGACTTTAAAATCAGTTCACAAACAAGGAAATAAGAATCCATATGGTGTCAGACTTGTTAGCAGAAAGTTAGCCTCCTAGATGAAGATGAAGCTATACCTCAAAAGTGTGTGAAACAATCATGTCTCCTAGACAAATTAGTGGCCAAATATGAGGGTAATGTAATGACACTTGGAGATATATAGGATGTAAACATACGCTTCTATAGGAAACTACTGGAGAATGCGCTCCGGCAGATGAGACAGGGTCTGCGACAAAGGACCTGAGGAACTCAGGAAGAAAGAAGGCAGAGGAAAGTCCCTGGGTAATAGCAAAAGGACATCCTAAATGACAGCTGTATAGCAAACCTAGCAATAAGTCAATCTAGACAAACAGCAGGAGGATGCTGGGGAGCCTCCAGGAAAAAACAGAATCAATAAAATCTCTGATCCATTTGAGCACTTCAAAATTTGAAACACATTGGTAAGTATTTGAAAGATGATGAAATATCTAAAAAAATTTCTCCTGAGAAATGAGGTAGTTATTAATGTTAAGAAATGACAAAATGCAGCATTTTTTAAAACACAAAAATGTTTCATAGGAAAGAACCTGGCTCTGAAGGGTCATCATCTATGAAAATATCAACACTGAATACTGACCTAACCAAAAATTGTATTATAACTTCCTGGGAAAGTGAGAAATGTAACAAAAGTGGTATTGGTGGTGTGTGAAATGTGAATCCTTACTTACTGGAACAGGATATTAATAAAAAAATTTGACATGATAAAGAAATCATACTACTATGAGCAGATTATTCAGAGACGTGGGAGTAAATATCAGAAAAAATATATAAAGTGAAAGTGGTTTCATTTGAGGAATGAGATTGAGAGGGGCAAGAGATTAACAGTAAGAATATTATATTTTGTATAATTTAAAATTTTTCTCTTAAAAGTCAGAGAAATAGAGACACAGACAGAGAGGTCATCCATCCGTGATTTCACTCCCCTTAATACCTGTAACAGCCAGGGCTGGGCTAGGACAAAAGCCAGAAGCCAGGAACTCAATTTGGGTCTCCCAAGAGGGTGGCAGAGATCCAGGTACTTCAGCAATCAGCTGCTTCCTCCTAGGGAGTGCATTAGTCAGAAAATAAAGCAAAGCTGAGACCCAACAGAGCTTGTTGGGTTAGGGTTAGGGCAGGCAGGGGGTAGGGTTGCTGGGAAGCTTTCAGTTGGAGATCATAAGCCAGGGAGCCTGAAGAATGGAGGAGAAGTAGCTAACTAGCCTTGTCATTTATTCTACAGAAAACTTTTATTTAATAAATATAAATTTCAAAAGTACAACTTTTGGATTATAGTGGTTTTCCCCCATAACCACCCTCCCACCCACAAACCATCCCATCTCCTACTCTCTCCCCCAACGCATTCTTTATTAAGATTCATTTTTAATTATCTTTATATACAGAAGATCAACTGTATACTAAGTAAAGATTTCATGGGCTTTTTAGCCAGATCTGAATGCCTTAGGGGCTGATTCTGAAGCCAGAGTGCTGTTTAGGGCACTTGTCATTCTATGATTCTGCTATGTATCCCACTTCCCATGTTGGGTTGTTCTCTCCTTTTTAATTCTATCAGTTATTATTAGCAGACACTGGTCTTATTTATGTGATCCGTTTGACACTTAATCTTATCTTTATGATTAGTTATGAACTTAAACTGATCACTTTAACTAGTAAGATGGCATTGGTAGTTGCCAACTTAATGGGATTTGGAGTCCCATGGCAAGTTTTTAGCTTTAGCCTTAGGGGTATGTCTGAGGGAGCATGTGCCAAACTGTACATCTCCTCCCTCTCTTATTCCCACTCTTATTTTTAACAGGGATCACTTTTCAGTTGGGTTTAAACACCTAAGAATAATTCTGTGTTAATTAAAGAGTCCAACCAAGGGTATTAAGTAGAAAAAGAAAATACTAAAAAGAATAAAATAGTAAGATGTTCCACAACAGTCAGGACAAGGGCTGATCAAGTCACTGCTTCTCATAGTGTCAGTTTCACTTCTACAGGTTTCCTTTTAGGTGCTTAGTTAGTTGTCACTGATCAGGGAGAACATATGATATTTGTCCCTTTGGGACTGGCTTATTTCACTCAGCATGATGTTTTCTAGATTCTTCCATTTTGTTGCAAATGACTGGATTTCATTTTTTCTTTTTACCACTGTGTAGTAGCAGATGTCTGGGAAATTGGTCAGGATTCCTTAGGGAAGAAGGAACTCAGCAGTCATGATCTCATCAGTCTTGCTGTGACTGTTGCCATATTATGAGCGTGTATCTGTGGCTAAGAATCATGTTTGCAAAAAAATAAAATAAAATAGCAATTTTCATGGACAACTCTGACCTTAAGTATTAGCTCATAATACTCACATCTGATTTTTTAACTTCTCAAGTAGGTTGGCCAGATGCGGTTGGAGGATGGCCCAGGTGCTTGGGCCCCTGCACTCACATGGGAGACCAGGAAGAAGCACCTGGCTCCTGGCTTTGGATCAGTGTGGCTCCAGCCGTTGTGGCCATTTGGGGAGTGGACCAGCGGAGGGAGGACCTTTTTCTCTGTTTCTCACTGTCTGTAACTCTACCTGTCAAAAAAATAAATAAAATCTTTAAAAAAATTATTAAGTATCAAAAATATCCCATTGGTAATTATATTGATTTTTTCTACTCTTTATAGAAAAGAAAATGTGTTTTTCTTGCATTTGATCCTTAACATAGATGACTGATCCTATTGTCAAATGATACTAATCTTAGATCATTTTAGAAACAGGTTTTATCTATTTTTTTTTTATTGATTTGAAAGAGTTACAGAGAGAGGGGAAGAGACATAGAGACAGAGAGAGATCTTCCATACACTAGTTCACTCTTCAAATGGCCACAATTGCCATTTGGCTAGGCCAAAGCCAGGAGTCAGGAGCTTCATCTAGGTCACTCACATGGTTGTAGAGTTGCAAGGACTTGGGCCATCTTCTGCTGCTTTCCCAGGCATGTTTGCAGGGAGCTGGATCAGAAGTGGAGCTGCTGGGTGTAAAACTGGTGCCCATATGGGATGCTGGCATCACAGGTAGTATCTTTACCTGCTATGCCACAATGCTGGCCCATAGAAAGTTTTTAATGACTAAACATTACATAATGAATTGACTAAAACTGGGGCAAAAACACACTACACTTGACACATAATCCAAGCATGCCACTCTCTGCCTAGGGACACTCTATATTTCTGTCCAATAGAACATTCTGCAGTGATGCAAAATTTCTATATCTGCTCTGCCCATATGGCAGTCACTAGCCACATATGGCTCTTTTGCTAACTGGTGCACCTAAGTGATTAGTAGAACTACTGAGTGGCTAATGCAACTGGAAAATGGGAATTTAAATTTTATTGATTTTTCCCTTAGATATTTAAGCACTTTTCTTTAGAAGACCTGAAACTAAATTTTTCAATAAAGAGAAACCAATAGATTTTAAATCTAGTGAAAATTGATTTTTGAAAAATTTATTTATTTGAAAAGCAAAATGAGAGCAAGAGAGGGAGAGAGAGAGATCAATATTCCATCCATGGATCCACTTTTCAAATGGCAACAACAGCCATGGCTTGGCCACGTTGAAGCCAGGAGCCAGGAACTCTAGCTGGGTCTCCCACATAGGTGGCAGGGGCCCAAGTACTTGAACTATCTTCTGCTGATTTCTCAGGGATATTAGCAAAGAGCTTGGGTTGGAAGCAAGCAGGACTTGAACTGGCACTCTGATATGAAATACCAGCCTCGCAGGTATGGTTTACCCTGGTGTGCCACACTGCCAGCCCCATAATGAGCCCTGACTTTAAAAAAAAAAAGTAATTAATTAGCTTAGGAGGCAGAGGGGAGGGGGCAGAAGGAACAAATTAAAGAGCTCCTGTCCCCTGGATCATTTCTCAAATTCCTACAATAGCTGGGATCTAGTCAGGCCAAAGTCAGGAGATGAGTACTCAGTTCAGGACTCCCATGATGGTTGCAGAAACTCAAATTATTTGAGCCATCACTACTCCCACCAAATATTTGCATTTGGAGGAAATCAGAGTTAGCAGCCTGAGCTGGGCATCAAACCCGGGTACTTCAATATGGGATGTGGGCAGATTAACTGGCCTCTTAAGCACTAGGCTAAACACCCACACCTCAAATGCGTTCTTCACTGTTGTGCTATTCCATCTTCTTAAAGTTATTTTCCTAGAGAGGGATTAGGATAGAATGATTAAGTACCTATTAAATTGTGTTCATAAAGTTAAATATAGGGAATTATTCATTATGTTTAATCTTCCTCTTAGAAAACTATGCTTAGAGGGGCTGGTGCTGTGGCATAGTGGGTAAAGCCGCCACCTGCAGTGCCAGCATCCCATATGGGTGTGGGTTTGAGTCCCGGCTGCTCCACTTCTGATAGAGCTCCCTGCTATGGCCTGGGAAAGCAAAGGAGATGGCCCAAGTCCTTGGGCCCCTGCACCCGCATGGAAGACCCAGAAGCTTCTGGCTCCTGGCTTCAGATTGGTGCAGCTCCGGCCATTGCGGCCCATTGGGGTGTAAACTAGCAGATGGAAGACCTCTCGCTCTCTCTCTGCCTCTCCATTCTCTGTGTAACTGTGACTTTCAAATAAATAAATAAATCTTTAAAAAAAGTATGCTTAGAAAAAAGACTAGAAATAAATGTTTTGCCTATCTTTTGTATATTCATAATTTCTTTAATCAGAAAAATGTTTATTACAAAATTTCAGCTATTAAAATTTTAAAGTAAATTTAAATGTTCTGTATGGTTTATATTAATATTTTGTATTAGAGTATATTTAAATATAGTTTGTTTCAAACTTTCATAAAAATTCTTCCTGAAGATTTGGACATTTATTTTACCAATGCTCATTCTAAGAATTAGATAAATTTTGGTTGAGTCTTAAGATGCTTTTATTTATAATAAGTTATTGAGTTCATATTCCTTAACGGTATGATTTCATTTACTTGTCAGATAAACAAAGTGAAATATTTTTACTTTAAAGAGAAAAATCACTGATACTTCTTAAAACTGTACTTTCTGAATTGCTATTTTTAATCTCTCCAAGCTTGGTAAACAGATTGTGGGTAGAAGAAAAACTACATTTCACAGTGATTCTTGTCTTCCTTCATTGATTTTAGTATTTTAGAAGCCAAAAATATCCTTGGATATGCCACATATACGTGACCTAAGATGACTTTTCATAAAGTCAGAGACATATTTGATACACAAGTCTGGATATCTTTTAAGATGTATGGCATAGATTCCAGAATTGTCTGCCACTAATACGAGTCATTTTTCCTACTGCCAGTTGGTGATACCTACTACATGGCCGAATTCTATGCTAGATTTTTTTAATCTCATTAAATTTTTATTCCAGTGCAGTGAGGTGGGTATTTTTCACTTCCACATTACACATGAGGAAATTAGAATACAAAGAGAAATTCATCTTGGCAAGAGTCAGTTACTATGAAGTGACGGAGCCAGCTTTAAAATTCAGGATTGCCAGGGTGAGTAGTTATGAAGATTAAATAAAGTAACCCAGGTGAAAACAACATAATCTCCATTCATGATGAATAGATAGTTTCAGTCTGCAATAATGAAAAAGTTTTGGAAATGAATATTAAGTATATTGTAAATATACTTAATGCCACTAAACTCTACATTTAAAATTATTAAAATGGTAAGTTTTATGCTATGTATATTTTTTATCACCTTAAAAAAAGAAGTCACTCATGAAAACTCTTCAGTAGAATTCCAGCCCATTGAAGAACCAACACATAGTGGAGGATCATGAGACTCTATCTGTAATAATATATAACAATGAAAAGAGGTCATTAAGGAGATGTCATTTGAACAGTGAGACATATTTACAATTAGAAAAAATCAGAGGGAAGTCCGTGAACAAATATTAGAGGTTTTCTAAACCCTCTATGATGCTTTTGATACATATGGTACTTTTGTTAGCTCATGAAATGCTTCCTTGGGGCCAGGGTGGCATAGTGGATAAAGCCGCCACCTATAGTGCTGGCCATATGGGCGCCAGTTAGAGTCCTGGCTGCTCTACTTCCCATCCAGCTCTCTGCCATGGCCAGGGAAAGCAGTAGAAGATGTCCCAAGTCCTTGGGCCTCTTCACTCATCTGGGAGACCTGGAAGAAGCTCCTGGCTTCTGGCTTCGGATCAGTGCAGCTCCAGCCGTTGCGGCCAACTGGGGAGTAAATCAGCAGGTGGAAGACCTCTCTCTCTCTCTCTCTTTGCCTCTCCTTCTCTCTCTGTGTAACTCTGACTTTCAAGTAAATAAATAATCTTTAAAAAGTAAATGCTTCCTGTTGACATTAAAAATTCTTAATAAATGAGACAACATCATATGATTACTTCTACATAGCAACTGAATGGGAACTTAAAATCAATTGTAGTCAACAAATCAATAGCAAGTGCCTACTCCACACTGGTCCTATGTTAAGTGTCCAAAAGTGGGTACATCCAAACCTCTGCAAGCAGAGCTGGAAGGCAGGGAGAAGTAAGCCCAAATAAAAAGCTGTGAAGTGAACTATTCATCAAGGTCTTCTAAAGAGAGTATCAAAAGAAATAGACAGAGATAGACAATCTGGTGCTCTTGTAGACAAACATCCATGCTTTCATTCCATTAAATTAAAGGTCAAACAAAACAAAACAACTTCAAATAGACCATTTGTGATGAATAATTCACAACTTTATTCCTCCTATCTTTATTTATAGTGTAATTTCTTCCCCCTTTTACCCTGGGAATTTTTTTTTTTTTTTTGACAGGCAGAGTGGACAGTGAGAGAGAGAGACAGGGAGAAAGGTCTTCCTTTTTGCCATTGGTTCACCTTCCAATGGCCACCACGGCCAGAGCGCTGCGGCCGGCACACCGCGCTGACCCGAAGGCAGGAGCCAGGTACTTATTCTGGTCTCCCATGGGGTACAGGGCCCAAGCACTTGGACCATCCTCCACTGCACTCCCTGGCCACAGCAGAGAGCTGGCCTGGAAGAGGGGCAACTGGGACAGAATCCGGTGCCCCGACCGGGACTAGAACCCGGTGTGCCGGTTCCGCAAGGTGAAGGATTAGCCTTGTGAGCCGTGGCGCCGGCTACCCTGGGAATTTTAACCATATGCAAGGAGAATGAAGCAGAAAGTAAGGCAAATCAACCACTTCCGTCCACTTGCCTGCAGTCCGAGTCCTAATGCCAAACGGAATGCAAAAGGAGACAGATATCTCTATCTCAGCCCCATTTATACATTTAAGAAAATTTCATTTTCAGGACAATAATGGATTGTTGCAAATCCAAGGGAAGAAGATCAAGTGACTCAATAGAAAAATAGGCAAATTAAAACTCTGCAAAGGTTCTCAGGTGGTCGGGGAGCATATGAAAAGGAGTTCCATTTTATTACTTACCAGTAAATCCAGATTAAAATCATGAGAAATAACTAGAGTTCCATAAGAATGACTAAAATTGAAAAAAAATAGATAACATACCAAATGTTTGTCAATCTGTGGCTCACATGGAATTCTCATGCATTGAAGATGGGAGAGGAAAATTGGTATCACCGTTTTGGAAAACCATTTTTCAGTATCTACTAAATGTGAATATACCTATATAATACTTTATAAACCCATATAATCATTTATAGGAATATATTCATCAGAAATAGCCTCATAATTCACCAAAATATGTACAAGAATATTCATAGCAGTATTGTTCATAATAGCTCACATGATTTTAATTATATTCTCCCAAATTCATATGTTGAATTTATGGCCTGAGAAGGTGACCTTATTTGGAAACAGGGTTGTTGTAGCTGTCATTAGTTAAGATGAAGTCATTCAGCAGTTGTGTGGGCTTCTAATCCACTCCGACTGGTGACCTTACAGAATGGGAAAGTTTGGACTCAGACATAAACACAGAGAGAACGTCATGTGAAGATAAAGGCAGAGATTGAGATGGTACCTCTATAAGCCAATGAACACTAAGGACTGCCAGCAAGCCACCAAAAGCTATGAGAGAAGAATGTAGCAGATTCTTTCTTCTCACTCTCCGAAACAACCAACTCTGCTGAAACCTTGACCTTGGACTTTCATCATTCAATACTGTGAGACAATAAATTTCTGTGCTTATACCACTCAGTTTGTGGTATATTGTTACAGCAGCCCTAGCAAACTAATGCAAGTCTCAAACCAGAAACAATGCAGATGCCCATCAACCATATTTATTCATTAAAAGAGGTAAATAAAGAAATGGTGTATTTACACAATGGAATACTATGCAATAGTGAGTTAACAAAGTTACTCAATCTTAAAAATGTAAAGTTTTGCAAAAGAATGACTCAAGAGTGCACAGCATGATTCCATAAATGTTCATAAAATGGACTTAAAAAGTTTATTTTGGGTAAAAACAATTTTTGGAAATCTACACAGTTTTTTTCATAATATACATCTTCTGTGTGCTTCTTGCATATGCCTCATACATGTGGATTTCAAAATTTCTTGCATTAAAATAAATACCTGGTAATTCTATTTTTCATGAAGTATTTTTAAAAGATTGATTTATTATTTATTTGAAAGGCAGAGTTTGCAGAGAGAAAAGACACATACAGACACAGAAAGAGAGAGAGAGAGAGAGAGAGAGAGAGAGAGAGAGAGCTTCCATCTGCTGTTTCATTCCCCAAATAGCCACAATGGCCAGAGCTGGGCAAAGCTGAAGCCAGGAGCCAGAAGCTTCTTCTGGGTCTCCCAAATGGGTGCAGGGGCCCAAGGACTTCTACTGCTTTCCCAGGCCACAGCAGAGAGCTGGATTGGAAGAGGAGCAGCCAGGACTAAAACCAGTGCCCATATGGGATGCTGGCACTGCAGGCGGAGGATTAACCTACCGTGCCACAGCACCAGCCCCTGTCCATGAACTTTTACTTAAAGGTTTATTTTTATTTATTTGAAAGGCATCTGTAAGTTTACTCCCTCAGATGCCTACAACATCCAGGGATGAGCCAGGACAAAGTCAGGAGCCAGGAACTCCATCTGGGTCTCCCACATAGGTGGCAGCAGCCATCAATCTGCTGCCTTCCAACATGCATTAATTAGCAAAAAAATGAGCAACAGCAGAATTGCTGGGACACAGATTACTGCACCGATATGGAATGTGTGTGTTCTAAGGCCAGTGTCAGCTTAATGAGCTGAGCCACAATGCCTGCCCTCCATGAGAAGCTTTTTGAAGTACTGTCAGACATAAAGTTAAAAAATATTCAAAACTAATATGTAGTGTTATAAGTCAGGATAACGGTCATCTTTTGTAGAAAAGTAAAAATAGGAAGTAGGTCAAATAGTCTTTTCAGGTTCTGGAAATACTTTATCTCTTAATGTGAACATTGTATCTCATAATGGTTGCACAGATTTCTTCAATTTATGAAAACCTCATTGAGGTTCACCCTTATAAATCATATACTTTCCTGTACGCATTGTATATTGCAATAAAAAGTTGTTAAAGTAAAATACTGGGCATGTGTTGTGATGCAGTAGATTAAGCTGCGCCTGCATCCCATATCTGAGTGCTGGTTTGAGTCCGGGCTACTTTGCTTCCAATCCAACTTCCTGCTAATGTGTGTGGGAGGCAGCAGATGACTGCTCAAATGCTTGGGCCTATATTAATCACGTGAGAGACTTAGATGGAGGTCCTGGCTCCTGGTTTTGGCCTGGCCCTGTCCTTGCTGTTGTGGGCATTCGGGGAGTGAACTATCCATTGGAAGGTCACTGTCTTTCTGCCCTTACAGTAGATGAAAATAAATAAAACCTTTTTGTAATAAAAAAA